TTTTTTTTTTTTTCTTCTTTAAAAAAATTAGCATTTAGCTGCCAAACTGGGCGACAGACAGCATGCATTAATCTGAGTCATGCAAAAGATCCTTTTAAGGCAGCCATTATCTGCTCAGGTTGTTTAATCCTTTGGGGCCAGTGGGAGGGGCCCTGGAGTGGGGCTGCTTTCATCCACGTCAAGCTGCAAAGTAAAGACTTGAGCTGTCATAGCAAATATTTAGCCCCATCAAGGGGGAAACATGTCCAACCAAAATACCTGAACCTCCTAATCTCCAGATTTCCTACTTTTCAAAAACTCCCTGTGAATATCAAGGGTCCACCCCTCTGCCCATGCTGCTACTGAGTAAGGGGGCATCAGGCCAGCCAAAAGGATAAATGAGCTCTGGCCAGATGAGTGAATTGTGCATTACCAATGGGTCTTAATAAGGGATGTCAGACAAGAAATAAAACTGAAAACCAATATTTGAATAGATCATTTGAATCAGAGCCTATCTAGAGGACCTAAGTTCTTTTGTTATCAAAATGTGTATAAGAAGATAATTTGACCAAATGGAAGACCTTTTGTAGTCTGATGTTGTTCAAGTGTAGATAGAATAATAATCATAGGCAATGTTCCAGATCTTTCAGATGTTCTGTCCCCAAGTCAAAGAACTATTTTCCCTGACAGCTGAGACCATAACATCATTCTAGTACTTTCACCCATGACAAATCATGGGCTCACTCTGGATTCCAGTAACTTGGTACCATCACCACATTACCATGTCATAGCTGGAACACGCTGGCAGAGCATGTCCAGACACTGCTGTGAAACAGGGTGACCTTTCATTCATTTTCCAGTGGATTCACCTTTTTGTCTCAGGGCAAATGAAGCAAGAGAAATAATGGGCAGAGTCATTTACTTGTGTCCAGAGGATTTCATCAGATGACAACAAATTGATTGTATTTGCCTAATGCTTTTCCTCCTACCTCGGCTTCTCCCCAGACCATATAAATCTAACTGGAAAAATGGAGTAAAGCTTCCTGTTAACTCTCAAATATGTCACAGCTCTCCATGTAAGTGAAAACAAGTGACACACAGCTTGCTCCCAGATGGCCCCAGCAAGGGGGCAGGGATGAACCCTGTGGAATGAGGTGTGGCCTGGCTTAAGAGTGAGCTAGAGAGTGGCCAAGGAAGGGCAGCCCCAGAACCACTGTCAGTTTACAACTTTCTCCCTGCCCACATGTCTGACTCGCTTTGAAAAGACTAACAGGAGTGTTTGTTTGAAAGTCAGACTCCTGGTTTCCTCATTAGTGGAGGGATTTGCTACAGACTTCGGCTGTTTCTGTAAACTTTAATTACCTCTCTGATGAGAAGTATATCCCCTCATCACATTCACCCCAAATGTACAGAAGAGTTCATTTCTGCAAAATGTGCTAGAGCAATCAAAGACCATTAGAGGGCGAGAGGGGCTGGGGGGGCGGGGGCGGTAGGGAACACACCACACTAGCTCTCCCTGCTGAAATATGAGGAAGTTGATCAACTGCCGATGCCTTCCAAAAACAGACTAATCCACCCTGGTAGCTTTCCTTTCAGAGCAAGCTTTTGGATCTGTCAAGTTTCTCTTTCAGCCAGAACTCAAAAGAAGACAGGCCACATGCCATCTGAGCTTAAGAGTTATTTTATATGTTGATTTGAGAGCTTCAAATTTTAAAACACAGAATTCTCATGCTTCTGCTGTTTGTTGCTATCCCTGGATTTACTGATATAAAGATTCTAGTCCTAGCCTGGTCATTTAATGACTAATTCTGAGGAACTAACGCTACCCCACAACACCATCCTACTTCTGCAGTGGTGGTTCTCAGACAGGGGTGACTTGCCCTCAGAATGTCTGGCAATGTCTGGAGACATTTTTTGGTTGTCACAATAGGATAAAGGGGATGCTGCTGGCATCTAGTGAGTAAAGCCCAGAGATGCTGCCAAACATTTTACAATGCACAAGACAGTCCCCCTAACACCCTAACAAATAATTATGTGGCCCCAGTTGTCAATAGTACTCTGTCAGGAAACTCCAATCTATAGGACACAGGGTACCTTTCTTGGCACCCAATCCTTCCAGCAGTTCCCAAGGACATCTGTAGGTAAGAAAAATTCAGAAGGGGACAGTGAATCACAGGACTGCCAAAGACAGTTTGTGAAACTGTCAATGCACAATCCTAACAAAATGAATTGTATAGCCCAAGCTTTGTCACTCCTGGTGAAATTTCAACATGTACCAAAAATGGAGTAGATAATTCAAGGTCCTATTTCCATTCATGTTAACAAACCAGTGAAGCACGTATTAGAGAATACCAGCTGGAACTGAGGCTGTACTTTTTCTTAAAATGTGTCTTTTCTAAAAAAGTAGTCTAAAGGAAGATATAGGGAGAGAGAAGAGAAGCAATGATATTCATAGACATTCACTCCACAGTCATTACTGTGCCACACATTAGGTTAAATAATAGGAAATGACCAATTTTTGAACTGTTCAAGATCTATAAAAACGGCAATTTTCTATGACTTAACCTAAATATTATGTGCAATGTATTATACTATTAAATATTGTTAGAATACGATATATATTATGTATAATACATTGTATGAATAACATTACATTAGTAATTATTATACAGTGTTGTAAGTTATCATATATTATATTACTATCACAGATTACATTATTATTGATATATTAGTACATTGATTAAATAGAGGGTCGACAAACTTTTTTCTGTAAAGAGCCAGAGAATAAATATTTTAGGTTTTGTGGGCCCTATAGTCTCTGTCATGACTACTCAACTTTACAATGGTAGCTCAAAAGCAGCCAAAGCAATAATACATAAAGTAATTAGTCTATTTTCTAACATATGTATAGACAATGAAATTTCAATTTCCTATAGTTTTCACATCACGAAATTGGCCCTTTTTCTTCAGTTATTTAAAAAAATTAAAACTCAGGCCGTGCCTATGGCTCAAAGGAGTAGGGTGCCAGCCCCATATACCAGAGATGGCAGGTATAAACCCAGCCCCAGCAAAAAAAAAAAAAAAAACTCATTCTTACCTCCTGGAAAACACAAAAATTGGCAGCAGCTAGATTAGGCTGACAGACTGCAGTGTGCCAACTTATGGAATATATCAATATTTGATTTATATGACATGTATTATAGTGTATCTATGCATATATCTATACCACATACTACACAGTATATTTCATGTATCATATGTCATATTTCCTTACATGATAGTCTATGTTACTATTTTCCACCGCTCTACAGTATCATACCATCCTCCTGGGCAGGAGCATTCTGAGTGGTCCCCCATCTGGAGGGGCAGCAAGGTTCTGAGTAGACCCCCACGTTTCAGGGTGGCAGCATTATTGGTAGCCCACCATGTTCTTGAATGGTTAGCACTCTGGGTATCCCCCATCTTCGGGGGTGGTGGCATTCTGGGTAGTACCCATCTTGTGGGGGGCAGGATCCTGGGCAGGATCCACATGTTCTTGGGCAGTGTCCCCCATCTTCATGAGAGACAGTATTCTAGGTACCCCTTCACATTCTAAGAAGGGAGCATTCTTAGAATGTGGGTAGGCCCCCATGTTCTTGGTGGCAGCATTCTCTGGGTAGTGGCCCATCTTCCCAGGAGAGGGTATTCTGCCTAATCCCCAGCATTCTAAGAAGGGAGTACTATGGGTAGGCCAACATGCTCTTGGGCAGGGGCTTTCTGGGTAGGCCAACATGCTCTTGGGTGGGGGCTTTCTGGGTAGTTGCCCATCTCTTGGGGCCGGGGCATTCTGGGTAGCCTCCCACCTCTTGGGGCAGGGGCATTCTGGGTAGGCCGACATGCTCTTGGGTGGGGGCTTTCTGGGTAGTTGCCCATCTCTTGGGGTAGGAGCATTCTGGGTAGCCTCCCACCTCTTGGGCCAGGGGCATTCTGGGTAGTCTCCCATCTCTTCAGGCAGGGGCATTCTGGGTAGTTCCCCCATCTCTTGGGCATTGGCATTCTGGGTAGTCCCCCATCTTTTGGGGCCAGGAGCATTCGGAGTGGCCCTCCCGCGGGCTAGTGGAAGCGCCAGTCCTCCCCTGCACACGACTGACGAGTATTTTCTCGCCTGCCCCGCAGCCGCGCCTGACCTGACAGCCTTCGGCGACCCGCGCCAGTTCCCCGCGCTGCCCTCCATCTCAGACCCTCGCATGCACTACCCCGGCGCCTTCACCTACTCCCCGACGCCCGTCACCTCGGCCATCGGCATCGGCATGTCGGCCATGAGCTCAGCCACGCGCTACCACACGTACCTGCCGCCGCCCTACCCCGGCTCGTCGCAGGCGCAGGGCGGCCCCTTCCAGGCCAGCTCGCCCTACCTGTACTACGGCGCCTCGGCCGGCTCCTACCAGTTCTCCATGGTGGGCGGCGAGCGCTCGCCGCCGCGCATCCTGCCGCCCTGCACCAACGCCTCCACGGGCTCGGCGCTGCTCAACCCCAGCCTGCCGACGCAGAGCGACGTGGTGGAGGCCGAGGGCAGCCACAGCAACTCCCCCACCAACATGGCGCCCTCCGCGCGCCTCGAGGAGGCCGTGTGGCGGCCGTACTGAGCGGGCCTCGCGGCCCGGCCGCTGGACGTCGTCAGGAGCCTCCTACGGCCGGGCCGGCTACCGAGAAGCCC